GTGTGAAGGGTTGGAAATGTGAGTGCTGTGAACTGTGCATGACTGTGTGCTGAAGGACTCAAGGGAATGTTTTCCTCCATTCCCTGACCCGTTCCTATCTCTAGGATGAAGCAATGTGTGGTTCTTCTTCCTAAATTATTTGTCTAGAAGATGTGAATTCCAGCTGCATGGAGATCCCTGGGAACTTCTTTTTATAGTGATTGCATGTCATCATATTTGTGTTACTTCTAAGCTTAATTTTGTACTTGTGATAGATGCCATATGGGAAGGGCAAGCTGTGTATTCAGTGCCTATAGAAAACATCATTAATTATCAACTCGTTCATGATACAACCCAGAAGTGAGTTTTGAGCTCTTCAGTTTTGGTGGTGTTAACTTTGTCTCCTTCTGATGATCTGAAGATGGTTCTTTCATGTTTATAGGTGAAAGGAGAGAGATTTCCATCGACATGTTTCTTGAAAATATCTCTGTAATAAATACTTTTTCTTGTCCCATGGCTTGGGTGGGAGGTCAAATATTATCCATAGTAAGGAGATACTGTCTGAGCAACTTTCCTCTTGGGGGAGTCTCTCTAAATTCTGCATATGTGTGCTAAGCATGGGAGCGGTGTAGGGTTAGGAGGGAGTGTTGGGTGAGTGGTGTATGAGGAGGTCCTGGTGGAGACATGGCATGGGTTTTGTTGATCCTCAGGGCTTTTTCTGGTGTTCTAAAATGAGCCAGGAGGAGTCTTATGGTGTTCACTTGAGTGGTTTGGACTGAAATGGCCTAGTTTGGGTTCCATATTGCTTTGCATCTTGAGAGGAGTCCATGTGCTGGAGAATGGTGATGTCACCTTTGAGGTGATACTTGGATGTGTGGGTCTTTGACAGAGCTGGTGAAAAGTTCTGGCTTATATAGCATTTTCCACTTGTTTAAATGATTGAATGGCACCCAGTAATGTAAGCTTTGAACACCACTTCTCTTCCAGTGATGTCTGGATGCAAGATTTGTTTCCATGTTATGTTTTGACAGAGGAAAGAAGTCTGTCTGTCCAGACACAGGGCCGGTGCTGTAGTTCACAGGGA